TTAGCTAAAAAAAAAAAAGTAGTTGAGGCTGCTAATAAGAATGTCAAAAAGATTATGAAAAAGATGATTGAGACATATAAAAATTAGCATGAAAAATTACCTTTTACTTTGCATACCTACTGAACATCCTTATGTACCTCCATCGAATCAATTTTGTTTTTTTTTGGTTTACGAGATGGAAGCTATATTGCCAGTAGAAGTAGAAATCTTATCTTTGAGAGTTCTAAGAGAAGTAGGGCTAGAAGATGTTGAATAGATCCAGAAGCATTATGAGCACTTGAATTTCATTGAGGAAAAGATATTGGTAGCACTTTGTCATGGCCAATTATACCAAAAAAGAATGATGAGGCTCATGACAAAAAGGTCCAACTTTGTCAATTTTAAAAAACAAAGTTGGTGCTAAAAAGAATTCTCTTGAGTTGGTGCTAAAAAGAATTCTCTTGAGTCAACATGATGATAGAGAAAAATGGACTACACATTTGAGAAAGATCATATGTTGTGAAAAGAGCCTTTTTAGAAAGAGCTCTAATTCTGTCAGAGATGGATGGAGATGACCTTTTAAATCCCATAAATTTTGACGTTGTGAAAAAATACTTTGTTTAAAAAAAAAAAGGTTCAAGTTAAAAACTTGAAAGGGCGACTTGGGCCAACAAAAAAAAAAGAGTTTAAGGTAAAAACTTAGAATAGTGATTTGTAATAAATGGAGGTTATTTGAGTTGAAAACCTGCAAAGGCGACTTGGATAAAAGGGAGATGGCATCATTTGAGAGGAACACCAAAATCAGTGGATTTCGAAGAACTCAGAAGTGTAGGGGCATTATATGCTTAAGTTTTTGAAGAAATCCAAAATTGTTGTCATGATTATTCGATTGTTTGTCTTGGGTATTGCTATCCCAAATAGCCATCTCTATATACTTTTATTTTATTCCTTAGCCACCAGTTATAATTTGCTTTTTCTATAAATAAATGATATTTATTTCATCCTATTTATGTTCCACTTTCAATATTTGCCTTTCCCTTTTTATGCTTTTACCATGAATAGAAAAAGTACCTAATTTGCATCTTATATTTTGAAATTGAGATAATGATTAAGAATTGAGTAATGTCATAAGAGATTGTGTATTACTTTGAGATAATTGAAAGGGACAAGGGCCAAATATAAAATCTTCAAAGTGTGATAAAGTCATTGATTTGGAAAACTCCCCTTGGGATGAAGATTAGTGCTTATCCTAAGTAACAAAGAATGGTTTGTAATCTCATTGCAAGAAATATACAAAAATGAAACTGCAGAAGAAAGTTGTTGGAACTTCAGTACCATAACTGACATTTCATTTGCATCCTAGATAGGGCATGCACTTACATCATTGTATTATCATTTATCATTTGTTTGATCTTGGCTCAGTCCAAATTATTTTTTTCAGACTTACAGTTAATCCTAAACACTTGTTTTGATCTCGACTTAGTCTAGATTATCTCTTTGATTTGCGATTCAATCCGGGTCATTCGATCTCAATTCTATCTAGATCATTTTTTGACCATGGTTTGACTATGGTCACCTAGCTTCGACCTTGACTCGGTTTGGGTCATCCTTCTAGACTTACGGTTCAATCCAGGTCATTCAATCTTAGCTCGGTTTAAATCATTTTTCTAAACTTATGGTTCAATCTCATCGTTCAATTTCGGCTTTGTCTAGATCATCTTTTGACATGGTTTGACCACAATCACCTAACTTTGATCTCGATTCAGTCCAGGTTAGTTTTTCGGACTTACAGTTTAATCTCGGTCATTTGATCTTGGTTCAATCTAGATCATTTTTTTGACTTGCGGTTCAATCCTAGTCGTTTGATCTCGACTCAATTTAGATAGTCTTTTTGATTCGTGTCATAGTCCCAGTCATTTTTTCTTACTAATTTGACTCTCGTTTTTGAGTCGAAATAGAGTGTATGTCAAAGTCTTTGCATCATCCCTATATAACAAGGTACAAAAAAGGCAGCTGTAGACATTTATTTGTGTCCATGATCAATTGGTGTCGATTATTTTACTATTATTATTATTATTTTATTAGAATTATTATTATTATTATTTATTATTATTGCTATTATTGTTATTGTTACTAGTATTATTATTATTATTATTATTATTATTATTATTATTATTACTACTACTACTACTACTACTACTACTACTACTACTATTCTTTCTTTTTCTTCTTGATTTACGATTGAATAAGGAAATTAAATCTACTGAACAAGGGGATTTCAATTCTGGATAAAACTAGGATTCAACTTAGACAATTTACAAGACCTAGGTCTAAAATCATGTTGAACAGGATCAAATTCTAGGATGTAGGCCTGAATTGATTCTATTCGGGCAGAATCCAATTCTAAGATTCAAGTCTGTATTAGTTTTATTTGAACCTTAAAATTTCTACCGAGGACTAATTATAAATTGGACACAATATTGCAAAACGAGACATGATTGATTTTTTTGGGATGAAAGAATCTATGTTAAAATTCTAGAAAATTTCTGGGTTTAGTTTATAGTTTTGAAGGTTCTGGATTTACAGATTCTAAGTTTAGTTTGAAGTTCATGGTTTAGGTTTGAAGTGCTAGGATTTGGATTCGACGTTTTAGGATTGGAGTTTGACTTTTTGGAAAAATCTATAAATTTTTGTGAAATTTCTGAAAAGCTGGGTTTTAAGGTTTAAAGGTTTGAATTTTTTGTTCAATTTTTTGATGGAATTCCAACAAAAATTTTCAGAAATTGACAAGTTGCCTAGTTTTCGATTAAATGTTCTTAAGTTTTTTAGAGAGAAGGCAGAGAGAAATTTAGCTAGAGAGAGAAGACCAAACACTTTTAAAGATAAGGCTGAAGAGTTGACTTTTATATTGTTGCCAAATAACACTGTTTTGTCCAGCGAGGATATATGCGTCAACTTATTGACCCGCACACGGCCTGCATGTTCTCGTTCGTAGGTTTTCTTTTTTTATTTTATTTTTATTGTTTGATTTTATTTTTTATCATTTTATATTTTATATTTTAAGTTTATTTATATTTATATTTTAAGTTTTTTATTATTTATTTTATTTTAATTGAGTAATTTATTATTTATTAAATATTTTGTAAAAATTCCTTCTATTAGTTTTTTTAAAAAATAATAAAAAAATGATGAAAAAACTCTTTTTAAATAAATTCATGAATCCTAACAAATTATTGGAGGATTTTTTGTAAATTTAAATTTTATGAAAACTACCAAACTATTGGAGAATTTCATAAATTAATTTTCAAAAAATAAAATTTTTGTATTTTAACATCTCAAACTATTGGAGGATTGCATATTGAGTTAAATCTTATCAAATTATTGAAAGATTTAATAAGTTTTCTCAAAAATGAAAATTTTTATATTTATAATAAAATCTCTTCAAGCTATTGGAAGATCTGCATCAAAGTAAATCTTACTAAACTATTAAAAGATTTTACTAATTATTTTTTTTTGATAAAATATATTAATAAATCCAACGACAGAGTCTCTTCAACGTGAGACATTAGTCTCCATGAATACTCTTGAAGTAAGAAAACTATCTTAAATTGCTACCAAACTATTATAGTAATTTTAAGATTAATTTTCAATATTAAATATTTTGATAAATTATAAACATATTTAAGACTTGAATAATTTAAAATCAAACCGGTAACATCATTTGGATGGACGTTGTGGATGTATTATAACCTTCTTTATACGTAACCATATTCTGAAACCTAAAATCTGATTTCGTGGATCAGAATATACTATTTAAAAGTACTTAAGTCAATCTTAAAACTTTTCTTTAAATGAGATAAATTCGATCAGGTGACCAATCATACCTAAACATAAAAGATTGGTAATGACTCCTGAAAATCATATTTAGTAGTAAGTCTATTGATTTATACGTTATGACAATAAGTAGGGATGGTAACGGATTAGATTGAAATAGATTTTTGCTTGTCTCAAACCCGATTCAATTTTATAATTTGAATTCCATTCGATCCAACATTATATAAAATCATATTCCATCCGATTATACCCAAAAATTAATAAAATATTATTTTTAATATAAAATATTATTTTATAAATATAAATATAAAATTAAATAAATAATTTAAAAAATAATTATATTTATTTGATTGAGTTGGAGTGGGTTTACTTAAAATCTGACTTATTTTTTTATCATTATTATTCGATCTGGCTTGAAATTTAATTTACAAAAAAGAATAATACCTTATAAAATCGAGTAGGATTGAAATTCACCGGTGATAGATAATGCTGGCATCTCTACTAACAAGTGATAAATGAAGGTTAATTTAGATTATACTTGGACACAAGAATTGCTTTTATGGGCAAAAAAATCTGAATGGGTACTCTTATAAAGTGAAATTAAGTAAGTTTGAGGTTTAGCATTTATGATTTCTTTTTTCTATCTGCATATCTTCAGATTATAACTTTTTCTTTTGTAAATAATTAAAAAAAAAGATTTTTTTGTGAAAAAATTAAAATTCATTTAACCAGAACATCTAGGCGTGAGCCATTAGCAATTGACGACACCGTCCACGTGTTATGTAAGGGTTTTTCCTCTTGCAGCACGAACCACGTGGCATTTCTAACTTAGCCATGCAAACGATGCGACATCTTCGACACGTGCATGTACGTACTGCACTACTCACATAAAATTCTATAATATCCGAAACAGAAAATCATTCCCATTTCTAAAAGTAGCAAAGTCTAGGGAAAGCAGTTAGCAAACATTTACAACAACAATAATGCAGCAACGAAGGGATGAGCAAGACGCCACCGCCGCTAAAGGTACTCTAAGGTTAGTAGAGAAGACGGTGAAAGATGTAATGGTGAACAAGAGGAGACTCGTGGAGGTACCATACACGGCGACGCTAGCTGACACCATGAACGCATTGGTGGCTAACAGGGTGGTGGCGGTGCCCGTGGCTGCACCTCCAGGGGAATGGCTTGGGGCAGGTGGCTCAATGATTATGGAGTCTTACAAACAGACTGGGGTTGTGAGGAAGCACTATATAGGGATGGTTACCATGCTTGATATTGTGGCATACATTGCTGATGATAAAGATCGTGATCAAATGATGGGCGGTAGTGTTGAAGTGGTTGCTGATCTTCAGAGGAAGATGATGGTGCCAGTGTCGTCTATTATAGGACACTGTTTTGAGGGACTTAGCTTGTGGACTCTGAACCCAAACACTAGGTACGTATTACAACTCGTAACTTAGGTATTTTGGTGTGCCTTTTACATGAAGTATTGTTAGTTTATTGGAAAAGTTTAATTGTTTTGTCATGTTTTAAACTGATGTTTATTTTTTACATAATTTTTTCAATCCTACATAAAGTTATTATTTCTCATATCCACTTTTAAGAGTTGGTAGATCTAAAGTTTGCAATCTCTTTAGTACGGCAACCTCTTTACTTTTCTTTAGACAGCAATTCCTTCGTACCAACATAAAAATTAAAAGCAGTCAACATCGAAATGCAATTGCAAAGAAAGAATAAAAATTTATAAAGTGATCAATAATCCCAAAAAAGGGGTTATGCAACAGACTCAATCATCTGTATGGCGGGGCATTGAATTAATTTGGTAGGTGAAAAAAAGTAGTGTCTTTAAGGATAAAAAATTGAAAGATAAATGAAAATGTTCCTGCATAATTATGTTTTCAACCTACATTGTTGCAATTAGTAATTGATCCTCAAAGATTTGTTTTCAAGTGCACAGAAAACTCTGGTATAGTGCCAGTAAGATTTAATTTATGGCCATAATTGGATTTGTGGTTTATCTTTTTTATCTCATTGAACAGCATTTTAGAGTGTATGGAACTGTTTTGCAAGGGAATCCACCGAGCCTTGGTCCCAATGGACAGCCAAACGGAGAATATCCAACGAGTTGAACTCGTGGAGTCTGCATCAAGCTATAAGATGCTTACACAAATGGACTTACTGAAATTCCTCAACGACCATGCCCCTGAATTGGAGGGGATCTTATCAAGCAGTGTAAAGGGAATAGGTGCCATAAATGAGAATGTTTATGCCATAAACGATCGTACCAAAGTTATTGAAGCCATCAAATGCTTGAGGACTGCTTTGCTCAATGCTGTTCCTATTGTTCAGTCCTCTAATGATATTGGAGAAGATCACAGACAGCTTATAAATGTAAGTCCCTCTCTCCTCCAGAAATAAAATTGAAGAACTCAATTGTAATAATAATCTGGGAATGATCTAATCTATAACGAGGTAACCAGATCGTTTTTCTCACATCATTGCTTTATAATGTTATGTATGTTGTGCCTGTCATTACAATGCCCCAGTTAATGTCTTCAGGCCAATCCGTTTTCCTGATTTTTCAAGTTTTAATATCAGGGCAAAGGGAGGAAGCTGATAGGTACATTTTCTGCAACAGATTTGAGGGGTTGCCATTTTTCTGCACTGCAAACATGGTTGCCTCTAAGGGCACAAGAATTCATCGAGCTAGTGTCAACAAGCCCTTTATTTGCAGCTCGGGAGGGGGTCTCTCCAAGGGAACTTGTGAATTGCCAGCCTGATTCGCCCCTCTCTGAAGTGATTGACAAGGTTGTCTCTAAACATGTGCACCGAGTGTGGGTGGTGGATCAACAAGGTTTACTTGTTGGGCTCGTTTCTCTCACCGAAATAGTTGGAGTCCTGAGGGTTTCAATGTTGTCAAAGATTGGCGCAATGTAATCTCATACTTATTGATGAGAAGTGTCACATCTTAGAATCTTCGTTTGCCTGTTTTAATTAGAACTTTTGTGGAACAAGTGTTTTACTAAAACAATAAATGCTTCCTAGAAACCGAATCTAAAATTAAACATGCATGTCGTTGTTCCAAATCCTCTATATTGGTTAATGGATGCTCCAAATAGATGGCACGCTATGATCCTACGAATAGCAGTTGGATGCTAAACCTGAGACTGAGAGCCATTTTTGCAGAATCCATGGGAGCTAAGGTGGGTTAACTATCAGAATTCTTTGGGATATTTTGCTACTTTTCATCTGAGCTTCAATCAGAGGTAAGGTTTAGAAGACTTGATTAGAAGGTGGTTATTGCAACTGTCTCAAAATGTCAACTATTTAAGACAGAAGCTGTGAAACACTTATGTATGTCAAGAATTGGAAATAATCATTACAGTATGTGGAGCATTTACAGTCAAAATACCACAAACCAAAGTGGCCAGAATGTTTGAATTCGACAGTACTTCTGATTTCATGTTAGATGTACTGTGATCATATGCTTTTCGTTAATTTGTTGGTGCATTATATTGTAATTGACCAAAGTATGATTGAAACTTCCTATCTATATATGAATTTGTTTGTTAACGTTTAAAAGTTTTAACCTCGAAATAAAGATTAATAGGTTAAATCTCTGGTGTAAACTATGGGCATTAACTTTTTTTTTTTTGTGAATAAAGAAATTAATGGACGAAAGAAGATCAAATTTAAGAATAAACATCCTAGAATTTATGGGTTGATTACTAATTTTAAAAACCAAACAAAACATTAAAGTAAAATTTTAAGGTAGTTGTTTTATATATTGGTGGTGGATTTTTTTTTAAAGTCACATTAGATAATTATCATATGTTTATTTAAGGTTTTCTAAGCTAGATCTTAGGTTTGGCTACTATCAAATAAGAATGAGTCCTGCAGATCTACACAAGACTGCTTTTAGGACTCACCAAAGACGCAATGAGTTCTTGGTAATGCCCTTTGGGTTAACCAACGCACCCTTTACCTTCCAAAGTCTCATGAATAGTATCTTTTAACCTTTCCTTAAAAAGTCTGTGTTAGTGTTTTTTTTTAAGATATTATGGTTTATTCACCAGCCTGGGAAGATCATTTATCACATTTGCAACGAGTGTTTGAGGTGTTGGTAAAAGACTAGCTATACGTCAAGCTATCGAAATGTGATTTGGGAGCTTCAGAGATTAAATACCTGAGGCACGTTATGAGTACAAAAGGAGTTGCCATGGACAGTAAAAAAATGACTGTACAAAGGATTGGCCGGTACCTACAACCATTAAGAAGTGAAGGGGATTTTTAGGGTTGACAGGTTATTACCGCAGGTTTATTAGAGAGTATGGAGTCACCGCGAAACCCCTTACAGATTTTCAAGAAAATGCCTTTAATTGGCAAGAGTCAGCCACTATAGCTTGAGAGAAACTTTAAGAAGCTATGACAACAGCAACTGTTTTAACTTTACCTGACTTCAATGCTATTTTTGTAGTTGAGTAGATGCTTCAAGCTTTGGTATTAGAGTTGTCTTGAGCCAAAAGCAGAGGCCAATTGCTTTTTATAGTAAAGCTTTATCCATTAGATATCAAACTTTGTCAGTTTATGAAAAAGATATGGTAGCTAAATTGAATGCTGTCAAGAAGTGGAGCACTTATTTGACTGGGAGGCACTTTCAAATCAAAATAGATAACCAAAGTCCGAGATTCTTGCTTGAAAAAAAAAACTAGTACTCATTCTTAACAGCTTTGAGTGATGAAGATGATAGGATTCGATTATTAACTCGTTGATAAAAAATAATCAACCAACAAGGCCGCTGATACTTTTTCAAGGAAACCTGCAGCCATGTTATGTGCCATTTCTTTTATGGCTAATGAGCTGATCACCTGGATTAAACAATCCTAGCTAGGATCCAGCAATGATACATTTGTTATACAAGATCAAGCATAAACATGAACAGTGTCCTAAATTTACAACGTAGTCTGATCAACTAAGAAGAAAGGTAAACTAGTGGTTGGATCTAATCCAGAATTGAGACAGGATTTATTGAACTATTTCCATAATTCAGTGGAAAGAGGCATTCTGGAGTGGAAGCCATTATGAGAAGAATGGCCAGTGTGATTTACTGGAAGGGTGTGAAAAGGGCAGTAAGGTAATTCTAAAGGGAATGTTCAACTTGTCAATGGTGCAAGTATGACGTTGCTACTTATCCTGGTTTACTTCAACCTCTCCCTATTCCAGATAAGGTATAGTTTGATGTATCTATGGACTCCATTGAAGGTTTACCTAAATCATTTAGGAAGGATGTGATTATGGTGGTAGTAGATAGATTAAGTAAATATGCTTATTTTATCACTCTTTCTCACCCTTACACTAATGTTACTATCGTTCAAGCTTACTTAGACAATACATATAAACTGCATGGGGTGCCGAATACTATTACATCAGACCAAGATAAGGTTTTTACCTGTTTATTCTAGAAAGAATTGTTTAAGTTGCTTGGAACTAAGTTGAAAATGTCTATTTCATATCATCCCCAAACAAACGAACAGTTTGAGGTTGTTAACAACTGTTTGGAAACCTATTTTATATGTATGAACGAGGAAAAGCCTAAATAGTGGGCAAAAGAGATACCATAGGCTAAGTGGTGCTATAACACTAGTTACCACATGTCCATACAAACCACCCCATATGAGATAGTCTATGGTTAGCCAGCCTTAACTCATATGCCTTACCTACCTGGAGATTTAACAACTGTTTGGAAACCTATTTTAGATGTATGAACGAGGAAAAGCCTAAATAGTGGGCAAAAGAGATACCATAGGCTAAGTAGTGGTATATCACTAGTTACCACATGTCCATACAAACCACCCCATATGAGATAGTCTATGGTTAGCCAGCCTTAACTCATATGCCTTACCTACCTGTAGATAGTCTATGGTTAGCCAGCCTTAACTCATATGCCTTACCTACCTGTAGATAGTCTATGGTTGGTCAGCCTTAACTCATATGCCTTACCTACCTATGCCTTACCTACCTGGAGATAGACTATGGTTAACCAGCCTTAACTCGTATGCCTTACCTATCTGGAGATTTAAGAGGTGAAAAAGTCGATAGAAGTCTTTAAGCAAGGTAAGCTATGATCAAGTTATTAAGGTTTCATCTAGATAGAGCCAGAAACAGGATGAAACAGCAGGCTGACAAACATAGAACTAATAGACATTTTCAAATTGGTGATGTAGTTTATCTTAAACTCCAAACATACTATCTTGTTTGAAGTCAGCAGCAGGGGTTTTTGGTCCATATAGAATGTTGGAGAAAATTAGTCTAGCAATTTACAGATTGGAATTACCTTCAGAAGCTAAGGTTCATCTTGTTTTTCATGTGTTATGGCTCAAACTACACATTGGTAAGATTCCAACACAACGTCAACTGTTAATGATAGATGCAGAGGGAGTGATAACAAGGGAGCAGGTTGCCATTTTGATAGAAGGTTGAACAAGAAAAAATAGAGAGCAATCACTGAAGTATTGGTGCAATCGAGTAACAGTTATCCAAAAGATACCACCTGGGAGAACTTATATGAATTGTAGAACAATTTTCCTTCTTTCAATCCTTGAGGACAAGGATTTGTTGAATGAGGAGGCGGTGTTACGATCTGAAATTGTAATGGGCCTGCTATAAGTTTTATGATATTGGGTTATAGATATTATAAGCTTGTAATAGTCAGTCCATTAAGCTAGTCATTTTAATAAGCAAGTAAGTTATTTTATTTTGAATGTAGCAAACAAGTAACCGTGTGAGATATATTCTCGAAAGGTGGTACAAAAGCGAATTGTAACAGATTGCATTCTTTATGGAAAAATCAATCATATTCTCTCTCAACTAAATTCTCTCTTTTATTCTTGTTTCTCTCTTTCTATTTCTTTATTTTTCTTCTTCTTTCTACATATATTTCTAGAATCATGCAAAATTCTTCTTGGTTGTTGTGTGGGCTGGAATCTTGGTTTAAATACAGTTTGATTGCACGACAATATCAAGGCTTTATCAATCAAATGCCAATTGCAGGAATTAGGAAACTTATGATTAATCTTCAACCTCAAAGTTATGAAACGTGAAAACAATTAGCATAACTAAAAACCTTTAAACCTATTATACTTCAATGATCATGTCAACACCAATGTAACTCCGATTGTCATTTCAGCAGCTAAACACCAGGCAAGTTGATCAGTCATGTCATCATTTGCAAGGTATAAATATGTAACACATTCATAATTCTAGTACTTTCTCTTCTTCCCTTAGTTATATCTGCCCTTTGTCTTTCTCCATATTCTTTCGCATGCTTTGTTGATTTTAGATCGGAACACATCCCGAAATACTATCGCCACACCCCAAACTTTTCTCTTCATGATAGGTCATGTCCACTGTCCTTTTCAATGTCTGACAAACTACTCAACCATGAAATAACATAAACAAAACCATTTAACAACTTTTTCTTTCAATTTAAGAATGAAGCATAGCAATTTCCCAAGCACAAAAAATCAAGTAAAGCATGTGTAAAAACTTGAGCCCAAGGAACCCTGCAATGGTTCATGGTTGGCTCTTGGCTGTACATGTCCATTGTGCAACAAAAAAAAAAAAAGGCTGGCTGTGTTCGGCTTGGTTAATTGTCTTCCGAAAAGCCTTGGATAACTAATAGAATTGGCCTTCGAATTGAAACTCTAATCCAAACCAAGCTACCCAATTTGGCTGAAAGGGTCCATATTTCACCTTTAAAATGATAATTTGAACCATCAAAGGAGTGATGGTTCAAGTAAAATTTTATTCTTTGTATCAATAACAAGTAGCTATAGTTATACATTTAATAATCTGTTTGGTAAGAAGAGAAGAGAGAAAAGGAAGAAAAGTATTTTAATTCAATGGTTGAGTTGCAAAATAACACATGTTCTCATGTAGCTCTAACTGTTAGATTGAAACTTTTTCTTTCCTTACCATTTTCTTGCTTTCTTTCTTACCAAAAAGAATGAATTTATATTTCCCATCTCCAATGCAAAACTCTAAATTTCTAGCATCTTTATCAGTAGATCGAGGGTTATGGATCTAATGAAATGTTCAAAAGTATTTTTATCCAAACAAAGAAATTAATTAGAATTATGTTCTTTTGAGTAACGAAATCGTACGTCAATCATATTTAAATCATATGCTTGAAGGATAAAACTTAAATAAAATTTATGAAAATTTTTTTTCTGAATATGATTTAAAAAAATTTTATTAAAAAATCTAAATTGATAAATTGATAGAGTGAAATTAATAATATGTAAGAAATTATTAAAAATATCATTTATAGTTTAAATTT